CCACGGAGATTTTTGGCTTTTTGGCTTTCAAATATCACTACAAATAAAAATTTTTCTATGCGCATAAAGAAAACGTGGGCTTAACTTTTGGCGGCACAATATGTTAAAAAAAAATCGAAAAATGTCATATTTTTCTTCCTTCTTAATTATGTATCGTTTCAAGAGTTGATTTTAGGCGAAAATGGAAGAGGAAAAAAATGTTTGTAATTAAATTTGTTACAAAATATGACTAGTTACAAATCGAATGAATCTTGATTATTATTGTAAAAATCGAAAAAATCACAAAAATGGGCTAAAAAAACATTACTTTTTAAGGAATTTTTGGGGGTTTTTAAGTTGGGTATAGGACGTTCATACTTGGCTCAAGCAAACTTCATGTTATGTAGAATCATAGCACCAAATTTCATCAAAATCGGTTCGACAGATTTTGCATAATAATTTTGCCATCCAGATTTTGAAAAAATTTTTGCAAATTTTCAAAATTTTGCACAGCAAAACCAAAGTCCTTAGATACCTAAAAATTTAAATCACATATAGAAGGGCTCTCAAGCTGTCAAACGCTTTTGTCAATTAGGAAAGCTCTGGCGCTTGTTTAAATATTGATCGAATTTTTGTACTTATAAGCAATTAGAATAACTTTATGAATATTCAACCAAATCAAAGTTTTTAAAATAGGTTTTAAAAGTTATTGGAAAGACGCTTCTATAAAAAAAAAACAGATCGATTGGTCAGTTAGTTACGTAGTTATAGCCGATCAAAGTTAAATTAACTCATTATAAATATTACTAATTTTCGACATATTTTGAAAATAATTGTTTAAACAATTTTAGAATATTTAAATAAATTTGTTTAAACAAGCGCCAGAGCTCTCCTAATTGACGGATTTGAATTTTTCAAAAAGCGTTTGAAAGCTTGAAAGCCCTTCTATATGTCATTAAATTTTCAAGTATCTAAGGACCTTGGTTTTTGTTGTACAAATTTTTGAAATTTTTTTTTCAAAATCTGGATTGCAAAATTATTATGCAAAATCCATAGAACCGATTTTGATAAAATTTGGTGTGATGTTTCTACATAGCATGAAGTTTTCTTGAGCCAAGTATGAAGGTCCTATACCCAATTTAAAGACCCCAAAAAAAAATTTCCTAAAAAGTAATGTTTTTTAACTTCATTTCTGGCGATTTTTTCCATTTTTACAATAATAATCATGATTCATTCGATTTGTAACTAGTCATAATTTGTAAAAAATTTAATTGCAAACATTTTTTTCCTCTTCCAATTTCGCCTAAAATCAACTCTTGAAGAGGTACATAATTAAATAGGAAGAAAAATATTTTTCAAATTTTGTTAACATACATATTGTGCCGCCAAAAGTTAAGCCCACGTTTTTTTTATGCGCATAGAAAAATTTTCATTTCTAGTGATATTTGAAAGTCAAAAAGCCGTGGATATACGATTCACCCAAACTAAAACAGATACCGCCTAGTCTAATGTGATTATGTGATTTTCTGACTAAACCCCGTATTTAAGCATTTCTTGAGTTCTCGAACAATTTTGTTAAATGCAGTTTTTAACGAAAACAAAAATTAAAAGTACATTGCTTTGGGAAAATTTCACATTTTAAAATTTTTTGGACACCTTGCATGTTTTATTAAATATTTCATTATTGCCCAAAACAAACTCATATAGTATAACTTTTTCTCGAAAAATCAACAGTTAAAAAAGTTTACAAGAGTGCGGTACCCCGTCCCGGGACACACTGTATGTATTAAAAACCCAGGTGAATTAAACTGTGGAAGGCACTGCTGTCATTCTGATCTGAAATGTAGAAAGCGTTTGGTAATATAAACACTAACAGAAAAAAATCGACGCGTGACTTTGCAATTCAGGATTTTTTATGTGACGCAACGAGACCCTACCCAATTACGTAAAAAAAATTGAGACAGTCTAATAACGAGACAGGCAAGGTTAAGAACATAGGTACTATTATTTCCTTAGTCAACGCTATTAATTATACAATTCATTGGGAACGAACTGTTTCTGGCAACTTGCTGTTTCATTTAAGAGTGTGGGAAATTCTACAGAACTAACAGATGAGTGACCTCTGCGTACCTTTTAAGAAATGTGGAAAATGTTGCACCACGCCTCTTCTTAAAATAACGATTAAAATTCACAATGGATCACAGCAGAATAGTGGTTTCGTGTGGTTAAGAATAAGTAACAACACAGCAACTATTGTCTGCAATAATTTACTTATGCCGTTTTCAGTTACTCTTTAGTTTGATTGGGTATTTTTTTACAAACGGAAGAGAAAAAAAATAATAAAAAAATCCTTTGCGCCAAAAGGATTAACCAGAAAGTTGATTTTTTAAATTTAGTTATGCCTGAACAGAAATATCACATACTGAGAAAGTAGATATTTTTTCACGACACAATAATCACTATAACTATACAGGGTGAGTCAGTTTTTTGTGATAGGATTTTAACAGTTGATAGAGATTCATTTTTTAATAAGAAAAGTTCCTTTAAACGTAGGTCTTAAAACGCTTCGTTTGTGAAATATAGGGTGTTGAAAACAAACTTTTTTGAAGAATTTTTCTTGATATCTCTAAAAGACCAACATATATTGAACTGAAATTTGGCATTAATAACACATTAGTTATGGTGAATAAAATAAAGATATCTGTTATCCATTTCACCCACCAGTGACGTGCCTGAGGTGGATAACTGACCTCTTTAAAAAAATTATTTGTACGCCCGTGAATTTTTCTGGAAAATAACATCATTTCTAAATTTTTTAATCAATTTTTTGAAAAACATTCAATTTTTTATAAAATTAACGGTTTTTGGTTAAATTCATTTGGCATGAAACTGTTCCAACGATATTGATACCTAATACATTTGTGAATTAATAAGACAAATATGATGTGCACTGAAAATCAACAAAAACGATTGAATGAATAATAACAGTTGATAGAGAATCATTTTTTAATAAGAAAAGTTCCTATAAACATAGACCTGAAAACGCTTCGTTTGTGAGATATAGGCTGTAGAAAACAAACATTTTTAAGAATTTTTCTTAATATCTCTAAAAGACCAACAGATATTAAACTGAAATTTGGCATGACAAAACAAATGTTGATTTTCAGGGGTACATCATATTTTTCTTATTACAAATGTATTACCAATATCGTTGGAACAGTATCATGCCAAATGAATTAAACCAAAAACCGTTCATTTTATAAAAAATTTAAAGTGAGCTGTTTTATTCAGAATTGATTAAAAAATTTAGAAATGATATTATTTTCCAGAAAAATAACCAGTATTCCAGTAACTCACCTCAGGCACGTCACTGGTGTGTGAAATGGATAACAGATATCTTTGTTTTATTTACCATAACTAATGTGTTATTAATACCAAATTTCAGTTCAATATATGTTGGTCTTTTAGAGATATTAAGAAAAATTCAACACCCTATATGTCACAAACGAAGCGTTCTAAGACCTACGTTTATAGGAACTTTCTTATTAAAAAATGAATCTCTATCAACTATTAAAATCCTACTACAAAAAACCGACTCACCCTGTATAGGTATATTCAAAGCTGTCATGAAGAAATATCTACTTTCTCAGTGTCAAATATTTCTGGTTACACAAATAAATTTATAAAATCAACTAATCAACCCTTTGACGAACACTTTTAATGTAAAGGGTTATTTTTTTTCTATGGCAGAAACACTTAATGAAATAAATAGAGAAACTTCTATTACGTTACATGTTAGTTGTATTGTTTCTGTATCGCCTTAAGATTTCAGTTATTAGTAGACTTCCGAAACTTTGTGGCGACAACCAAATAAAAATAGTAATCTATATTATTTTTGTATCTAACACCAATTGTTAACGATCTCGGAACACCCTGTACATATTAAATGGATGTTAGAACAAGATTAGCTATTTATGTATTTCTTAACTTACATAGTGCATTATTGAGTTCTAATAATGAAATTAATTAATCTATTTTGAATTATTTCTTAATTGGGAACATCCTGTAATGTTGAGCTACTTAAAACTACAAAAAATGTTATGTCATAAAATGTAACCGGAAAAGGCGATACCTAACGACCTCTAGCAGATAGTCCGGAACTAACAACGCTGACCGTATCGAAGGTCTGTTGTGACCTAAAAATTTATCTCAAATGTCAATGTCAAATATCAAAAAAAAAAAGTCCAATGTTAGCGAAACCGCAACTTATATCTTTAATAATACCCGAAATGCTCTAATATGACATTGATGCACTCTATAATGCCTTTGCATCTTTTTACTCTTACTCAAACGACAAAAATAGTAGTTTTAGCCACCTATCAAATAATGACTGTGCAAAGTCATTAATACCCGAGAAAAATAAACGAGGCCCAAATTTGAACCTTGATGCACTTCCATTAAAAAATATATATATTTCACAGAACTTTCGAACATTTTTTTCATGCAGTTAAAATGTATCGTCCATCCTACTTCCTTAGGTCCACCAAAGAATGCAGAATAATAAGTATTTTTATCACCCGTATTGTTTTACAAAGGTCGGATAACTGTGACTCAGCTATTATTAGCACGTTTTCGAATTGCGATTCCACACTTATTGTTCTCACTCGAACCGTTCTGTTATTACCGTAATTAGAACATAATACAGGATTGTTTGGAAACAGTGCCGACACTTTACATAAGCGCAAACAGATGTGAAAGGATGAAGGGAAATATTGCTCTGAGGACGTTAGTAAGGGAAATGAAGAAATATTAGATTTAGCACAATTTATTTATTTAAACGTTTGGTGCTTCTTAAAGATGTTAGTTGTGGTGATGATTCAAGGGTAATTTTTAATTAACATAAATACTAATTTCGATTAAAAGATATTGCAACAGAGTTCTGATGAATCAAAATTTCAATAAGCCACCAAATGAAGAACTCAAAAATATTGACTAATTTTGATTTGGTGGTGAAACGAAATGTAGAGGTGTGCTTTATAGGTTTCCCCAAACTACACCTCCTAAAATAAGCAGTACTACATTTTTCCATAAACAGCATCTTTTAAATGAACTTCTGATCATCTTTAATTTCTTCAATGATGTTACTGGGACTGTTCTGTTTGTACGTTTTCATTAATATCTCAAGTATCATCAAAATAACGCTACAACCCACTCCAATGCCAAATATCAAGAAGGCTGCGTAGCAGTCTATTAAACCAGCGCTACCAAAATTGCCACCAGTACCATGACATTTTGGTTTTTTTGTATAGATACGACTGATCTCCCTGCTTTGAATTCCAGATTCGTGAATCTTTTCAAGACTAAAATCGGTAAGATAACAACAAAAATATTCCACCTAATATATCAGAAGTAAAGTTGGCGGTGCAGACTCGTGTAAGAGAAAGTGCGATATAATATTATTTAGAAAATAACAATAAAATGGATAACTACCTATTGAAACATGCGAGTTTCACTCACCCCACTTTAAAAATCTCCTTGTAACTCGAATTCTTCTTCACAGCCAGCCAAGGTTCTATCAAGTTTATGTACACTATCTCTTTCAAAGTGCATTTTTCGCTCTCTTGAAATATTTCGTTGATTATCTTATAACCAGTGGACAACTCTATGTGAAATGCGAAAAACCCCTGTTGTACCTTCTCTATCCCCTCTCTAGCTGTCATAAAATTAGGTTTTTGGCCCTTGGGAGCTATTTTCTGCTCGTAAATGGCTTTTCTGGTGGGCTCCTGTGCATTCTAAAAACAAAAGTGACGTTTAGCAACAGTAGTTAAGGGGTTGGACCCTGAAGACAATATCACCTCAAAATAGTAATGCGCGTAGATTATATCTTCCACTCCAAGAGATATCCTGGAAGCTAGCAAGTCCTCCAGAGTCCGAATACTTTCAGTGGTAGATTGCAACAGGGCCACGATGTTCGCGGAATAGGAAGTATACATAAACATCAAAGCTATGAATGTGAAGATAGTGGCAATCCTTCCGGCGTTACTTCTTGGTTCCGCGTCAGATCCTTGTTGAGTGATGGCTCCAACTTCCATGAGGAACACGTCGAAGATGTTCGGTCGTAAAGAGTATACAGTGATACCTTTATTCTTGAAGACCGGGTCCCTCCATTCCCAGACCACTATCACATAGACCACTGCTAAAATCGCTGCTATCAAGGCGAAGCTGCAGTACCAAACGTAAGTATCAAATGGGAGAGTGAAAACGTTGGTAACGTAGGTGAGAGGAGGAGCTTTGAAGATGAATTTCATGAAAGTTGGAGCTGTGACTGCGATGTAGTCGATTATATCGATCCTGTCAATTGTGAAGAAGGCTGGGGTACCTAAAACAGTCAGTATTGATACGAGTGTTCTGGAAAAAAAACTTTTCACTTTGTTGCACCTCCTAGTTCAGCATTGCCAATCTGTAAATCTCCTATCATACCCGAATATAAAGAAGTGGTAGCATTTTTGTATCCCCAGGTATCTCTGAAGATTTTTTCGGATGTAGCGTTGGTAAATTCCAACAAATGATGCACTAATATATAGTTTAGTTTTGAAATACCATCTATATGTGTATGTCTAAAACAAAAGATAGTTATTTGTTACTAGAATATACGATTAAGAAAAGTAAAAAAAAATGTTCACCTGTAATCCCAAAGATGATTCTGTGACTCAGGATTAGTTATTACATAAGAAACCTTAAGAAAGGTTCCCATCAAGTTCGTTCGGTTCTGTGGGGCGGAAATATCATTGAAGTGTGAAAATCCTTGCGAATTTGTCCAAACTCCAACTAAATTAATTACCAACTCTCTAGCATTTTCCGCATACTTGTAAACAGAATTAATTCTGTAGCCAAGGTCATCGTCTTCTATTACATAAACTCTACTATCGACGCCAAAATAAACGTTGCCGAAAATTAGATCGCTGCCAGTTCCCAAGATTAGCCACCTGAATGGTTGGTTGAACAAATTTAATTCTTGAGCCTGAAAAAAAAGAGGCGTAGTAATTTTATTAGTAGTGTGGTAATTCTTGTGTGAAAAAAACACTTAAAAAGTAGTTATCGCATAAGCAACTCAGCTGAGAAACAATTAACTTTTGTGAGAATTTGTGGATAAATTAGAATTTAAAATAGCTTTTGTGGTGCGGAATAGAAAAATTTACACGTAGATTCAATGAAACAACAAAAGACTTAGTGGTTTTACAAGCAACTGTGAAGTGAAACATATACATTCATTATTATCCTTACTTGACGCAACATACTTTCGGAACCTTCGCATCTTGCGTCTAAGAGGAACATTTGGTGCTCTTCACTAGATGGATAATAGAGTGGTCTGCCAACTCTCCTGATTTGACCAAATATATAATTTCTCGAAAGCGCTTTCCACAAGTTCAACCGGACATCTGAAAATTCCTTTACCCACGCAATCTTTACCTAAATTTTGAGTTGCACTCACCTTTTCTCCAACATACACAAGCGATTATTTTGGTGGGACAATTTTGTACCTTCACGAAATCAGTTACGAGATTAATCACCTCGGAATAGTTTTCTTTCTCAAAAGAAAACTTTAAATATACAGTTATAAAAATTATCCAACGCTTTAGCAACATCCTGCTTCAAATGGGCAACATTAGGTAATGGACAAAATCAAGCAGAAACGAGAACAAACCGAAGCACCATAAATTTATAATTGGTACTTCGTCGTCGACTTGATGATTGTAGGTTTCGAATAGCAAACATGTAATTACCTTATATAATAACTTTTATAGCAGCAGATTTGTTTTGAGATGCTTTTATTCATAATTATAGAGTAAGTAACAAAAATGTTCTACTATTAAATGTAGACTAAAAGCAAAAGTAACAGAGGCGACGGTGTCACATTTGAATTTGTGCCTTCATTGAACTACAAGTGTCATAATTGATGTGTGGATTTCAATATTGTATACATTTTGCTAGAAAATAATATTTATTACTAATATCTTCTTAAAATTCAGAATAATTAAATTAAATGCCAGAAAATTGTCAAATCAGTCAAACCTGATATGTGTCAAATCGACTAAAATAAAATAGCTATCGAAAAATCATAACACAAACGTTTTAGAGTTTTTTTAACCTATTACAATAAAGAATAATCAAGTATACAAGATCAGTAAAAAAATCATGACGAAACAAGGTTGCTTTTTCTTTAATGGAACACCCTGTATTTCATATTTCAATTATTCTGGAAATGCTAAACAAAATTCATTATAACACATCATGTACCTAAACTTAACCGTTTTCGAGATGTCGAACTTTGAAAATCATTTTCTTATAAATTATACAAAAATATTTTAATCCATTAAGTTTGTAGTCCATCAAATTACCTTTGAAAGTTTCTAGGTCCATAACAACGCTGCATCATTCTTTTGTCTAATAGTGATTTTCTTGACAACACATGTCACGTTTAGTGTGAATAATTTTCTCGCAAAAATGCCACATTTAAGTGAAACAGAGCGAATTTTTTTTTTTTAGATATTTTATTCTTTGAGACATAAAAAATGTATAAGAAACGTCATATCAAGTTGTAAGAAACAGAAATTACATTTTAACAAATATTTAAACACACTTATATATAAAAAAATATATAAAATATATAAAACATAATATAAAAAAGAGAAAATAAACGTTACAAGTAATGCTTGATTAGGTATAAAAGTCTGCGGTACTATATAAGCACTTTTCAATAAGATACAATTTTAGATTGAATTTAAAAGCATTTACACTTTTAATATTTTTTATATTTTCCGGAAGATTGTTGAACACTGGCTCCAATCCGACTTGGAGCTTTAAAAGTAATATTTACTCTAGAATAAGGGATACGCAAATCATTCTTTATTCTAGTGTTTATGTTATGGACGTCACAGTTAGCTAAAAACTTAGATTTATTATTAAACACAAACAAACATATCTCAAACACATAAATGCCAAAAAGGGTTAAGAGTTTATATCTACCAAATAGTTCCCGGCATGAATGTGTACTAGGGACATCGGCAATGCATCGCAATATCCTCTTTTGCGCCACAAAACATCACGTGAGAGGGTGGAGTCACCCCAAAAGACAATTCCATACATTAGTCGGCTTTCAACTTGCGCCTAATACAGTTTTAGTAAATGGTCAGTTCCAATTACATTTCTAATGTTATAAAAAAGGTAATAAACAGATGCGTTAAAAATGCGAGTCCAGATATAAACCAGAAACTTACAGCAAGTATCATGAATATGAAACTAAGTATCACTATTAACACAAAGCTCAGGATCACTAAGTGGTTTCTGTGAGGTGTGGAACCTAAGAATCTGAGTTTTATCCAAATTAAAATATAAACATATGCGTTTAAGGTTATTCTCACATAGAAAAAGGACTGAGCCCTGTGGAACGCACATGCTTATTTCAGCTAGCTCCGAGCTACTCGTATATGTTTGCATAACATGATTACTAAAATAGTTAACGCTCACATATTGAGTTCGCTTCTTAAGAAAAGTTGTCACCCAGTCCAGAGGCCGGCCCCTGATACCGTAATTATATAACATGCGGATTAAAATATCATGATCAACACAGTCGAATGCCCTGCTGAGATCACAGAAGATCCCAACAGGGTACTCACCGTCATCTATGAACTCAATCAGCTGATCTATAAAACTGTGAATAGCAGTAGAAGTAGATTTTTTAGAGCGGAAACCATGTTGATGATCTATAAAGATATTAAATTTACTGGTAAAATTCAACAATCTTTCCAAAAAATCATGCTCAAAAATTTTAGAAAACCCACTAGTAATAGCAATAGGCCTGTAGTTGGCTAGAAAACGAGAATCATTCTTCTTTAAGATTGGAATGACTTTTCCAGTTTTAAGACAAGATGGAAACTTCACCTCCGAAAATGAGAGATTAACCAAAATTTGTTAAGGGTACTAAAATCAGCTGTAAGTGGTTTTGATTATGGACAGAGGGACATTGTCGGGACCTGCGCACATTTTACTCTTTAATTTGGAATTTAATAATTTAAGCAACTTATTAGGTACAAAAGGATCTAGATATATCGAATTACAGTTATTTGATATTATTTTCTATGGGAATATTACTAGACGAAAGAACTTGTTTCCTAACCCCTAAAGGCGCATCAATAAATTGATGAATTCGAATTGAAGTTTTAATGATCATAGGATGTGGTGATAGAAGATGAAGTTGTGATGAAGTAGTGGATATTTTTCATGAATTGTGTCCCGATCGGAAGCGTATTTGTAAATCAACTGTTTCAAACACATTGCAGCGATTTCATAAAACTGAAGGTGTTGCAAATCGACGAAAAAGTCGAAGACCAGTAAATGTTACAAATGAAGACAAATCATTAAATAACATTTTCGATGTAGTGGAAAATCCAATAAATTCGACACGATAAATTTAAATCATCGTCGATATTCCATTCAAAAAATTTGCAAACGGGAAAAATTACATCCATATAAAATTCATTTGTTACAAGAATTAGTGAAGACGATTATGGATAAATAAAACAAAAATGTCAACTTTGTCACCCACATATTGTTTTCTGACGAATCTATATTTTCTATAAACGGTCACATAAACACACACAACTGTAGGTATTGGTCGGACCAAAATTCACATTGGATGGAAAAAGTTCACACCCAACGACCGCAAAAAGTAAATGTTTGGTGTGGCATTATTAGTGGACACGTCATAGGACCCTATTTTATAAACGGAAATTTGACCTCTGAACAATATTTATTACTTTTGCAAGCACATAAATATTATTCCAGAGCTTAGACGATTATTACCGACCCAATCAATCCCAATTTACAAAGAACAAATATGGTTTCAACATGATGGAACTCCTCCATATTTTGGACGTGTGGTACGGGCATGTCTAGATTTAGATGAAACTTTTCCTGATAAATGGATTGGCCGCAGAGGGGCAATTGTATGGTCAGCTAGGTCTCCCGATATAACCCCGCTTGACTTTTTTCTGTGGAGTCACATACAAAATGTAGTCTACAAACTTAGGCCGCAGAATATCGATGAGTTGCAGGAAAGGATAAGGTATGAAATTTCCACTATTCCCCTCAACAACCTTTTAGATTGACTACAAAACAAAGGCGTCGCCAAGGGGGGCAGGGGGGGTTTCAGCTGCCCCCCCCCTAGAATTTCGAAAAAAAATACAAACATTTTCTTACACTAAAAAAGTATTCGATTGGAAATATTCAATAAAATATTTTATTTACTTAAACTTTAATTTTGAAAATTTCACCATTTCACTATTTTATTTTTTTAAAAAACAAATATATATACAAGCTGTTACAAATTCGCTTTCTCACTACATGGATCTCGGAAACATTATCCCTCTAAAAAATCAAAACTAACATGATTAGTATTCGAAATATTTGAAAAAAAACGAAATTTTGGAAATACGTTTTTGTTTCATTTCAGCCTTGTTTGAGGTAATATTAAAAAAAGAAGGACACTTTCTCAAGGCCACTTTTTGCCCTCTATCGAATGGCATAATCAATTTTTATATGTAATGTTTCGTCTCTCCAGGACCATCATCAACTTCATTTTTTAAAATACGACCCTGGAAATTTTATTACATTTTTTGCAAGCCTTCATGACCCCCAATAATGTACTGCCTCAACCCAAACCAGATTCAGACGTTTTGTCTCGAAAAATTCATCTTCAATGTTTCGAGATCCCTGTAGTGAGAAGCGAATTTGTAACAGCCTGTATATTTGTTGACAAAAGAATTTAAAAATATAAAATTTTATGTTAAAAAGTAATATATTTCCATATTTCCATATTTTAAAAATTTAGCTCTGGAATTTTAAATTAAAGAAACACAAGAATAAAAACCTGGCTGAAAAATACTATGGTACAGAATCATCTCAATGGCTTAGCAATGATGAGTATACACAGACATGACAACCATGAAGATTTTATTAATAATGGGTACACAAACTCAAAAAATTCGAGAAGATTACGTTCTACCGAATTTTCGTTGAATTTCTTAATTTTTTTAGTTGTTTATATTTTTTTGTTTTATTAAAAACAGTTCTAAAAAAATTAATTCACTGTACCTATTTCTACCTATAATTTATATTTCTCCCACCCTCTCTCTTATCTTGCCCCCCTCCCCCCTAGCCCATTGGCTGGCGACGACTTTGGTACAAAATTTTATTCGGCGAATATACGAGGTAAATGGTGAAGACTTTGAGCACCTTATAAAACAGAATTCCAAAGAAAATATTTCTTGTTTATTAAAACTTTTCCCTCTTTTTTTATTCTGGCATAACTATTGTTTTCATAAAATTTAAAATATGCTGGACATTCATTAAAAAAATACATGTTTTCGTTTCATGCATTTTTATCAATCCTGAACTATTAGGTTTTTTTATTTTCTGTAAAAAAACTAATAATAAAAGTAAATCATATGCATATCATTCACCTTGGGTTATTTTCAAAATAAATATCCAAATTTGGGGCCCCTTTTCTTTTATAAATTTGAGAGTAGTAAAAAGTTACTTTCAAAGTTCGATATCTCGAAAACGGTTAATTTTGTTACATGTTTAGAACTTCGAGAAGAACTGAAATATGGAATAATATACAGGGTGTTTCATTAAAGAAACTTTGTTTCGTCATGACTTTTCGACTGATGCTGTATATTTAATTTTTCTTTATTGTAATATATTTTAAATAACCCTAAAACGTTTGTGTCTTATGATTTTTCGGTAGATATCTTACTTTAGGAGATAATCAATCGGTTTCCACTGTAATATTGGCCTATACTGGAAGTTAGTGTGTATGTATAGTTAACGGTTCTAGTGCTTATTGTGTTATAGTGTGTTACTAGTAAACTACTATTCTAATTTGGAATAAAACTTAACCCATAATATTTCACAAATAAGTACTAAGCAGCTGAGCAGCAAACCAAAACTAAAATAGAGAAAAGGAGAGTAGCAATCCATCAGTCTGACACTGTCGTAATTCCCATGTCTTCCAGTGCAATGCGGTTTGGCAAAATATGTAGCATAAAATTTTATATGATCTCTCCTCTGAAGACCCGTTTCGAAAATCCTTCTAAAACTATGTTTAAAATTAACCAGTGTTCATTATTACCAAACAACAGGTTCCTCGGGAAGTGTGCTAGAGGCATACATTGTGTAATGAAGTGTCTAAAACTTACCCAACTAGAAATATTTCTGTATAAACAGAACTTTTGGGTACTACCAGGGAAACTTCAGTACTATGCAGAATCGTAGGAGTAGTTCTAATTTTACATTTCTCTTTCTCAGTAAAAGAATATCTAAGCAAAGAAAATGCTTTTCCTGTTTGAATATGAAAAGCGAAGAAACCTTTTCTCACCCTTTCTAACCCATCTCTTGCGCTAAACCAATTATTTTTAGGAACAATTCTATTCTCCAAGATCATTCTCCTAAGAGTTTCATTGCTGTACTCATTTGGTGTCTGCAAACATGTTTTCGATGAACAAAAACTTCAAAGATGAAATGCAAAACTTACACTGAAATAATATCTACTAAAAGCCATGTCCTCTACTCCCATTTCCATTTCGGAATCATAAAGACTGGCCAAATCTGTAATGCTCTCACTAGTAGACTGTAAAAGGACCAATATGTATGCAGAAAAACCAATGTACATATACGTGCACAACGTGAAAGTGAAAAACAGAACCAATTTTCCTGGCAACGACTTCAGTTCCCATGAGATGCTCCTTTGAATGGCAACTAAACACTCCAAAAATAACACGTCGGAGACGGTGGGTTTGCATGTTCTGTTATTGGTTTTAAGACTTTGTTTCCACTCAAAAATCGACACATAGTAAAACAGTATAGCTGAAAATATCATCAAGGAAATGTACGTAACAAACACCATCCGGGTGAACGTAAGACTAAAGATGTCAGCTGTATAGGAAAGTGGAGGTGCCTGAAAAATGAACATCGTTGGCATGGTATTAATCGGAGGGATGAATTTGAAATGTTTCTGTGTCGTGGTTTGCATGAATCCTGCAGTTCCTGGAAAACAAAAATCTGGCCGTACTACTTAGTCCAGACGGTAGATATCTGTTTCAAAGGGTCCATATTTGGGTGAATCGTATATCCACGGAGATTTTTGGCTTTTTGGCTTTCAAATATCAGTAGAAATGAAACTCTTTCTATGCGCATAAAAAAACGTGGGCTTAACTTTTGGCGGCACAATATGTTAAAAAAATTCGAAAAATGTCATATTTTTCTTCCTATTTAATTATGTATCTTTTCAAGAGTTGATTTTAGGCAAAAATGGAAGAGGAAAAAAATGTTTGTAATTAAATTTTACAAAATATGACTAGTTACAAATCGAATGAATCATGATTATTATTGTAAAAATCGAAAAAATCGCCAAAATTGGGGTTAAAAAACATTATTTTTTACGGAATTTGTTTGGGGTCTTTAAGTTGGTTACAGGACCTTCATACTTGGCTCAAGAAAACTTCATGTTATGTAGAATCATCACACCAAATTTCATCAAAATCGGTTCGATAGATTTTGCATAATAATTTTGCAATCCAGATTAAAAAAAAATTGCAAATTTTCAAAATTTTGCACAGCAAAAACCAAGGCCCTTAGATACTTGAAAATTTAATCACATATAGAAGGGCTCTCAAGCTTTCAAACTTTTTTTGAAAAATTCGAATCCGTCAATTAGGAGAGCTCTGGCGCTTGTTTAAACATTGGTCGAATTTTTGTACTTATAAACAATTAGAACTTTGTGAATATTCAATCAAATCAAATTTTTTAAAGCAGGTTTTAAAAGTTCTTGGAAAGACGCTTCTTTAAAAAAAAACAGATCGATTGATCAATTAGTTACGTAGTTATAGCCGTCATTTACACTAAATGTACTGGGACATCCGGGCTAATTTTTCGAAAAATACCTTTGGTATTCCGAGTACTTACCAGGTCTAAGATTACAATACTTTTCTTCATTGGCAACCTACTTTAAAACGTGTTTAAAGTTATTTATGCAAGCGAGAAATTCAAGAAAATCGTACGGGTGGTGGTGGTGGGGGAAGCAGAGAGCGCGGCCGCTTCGGCCTGCTCGAAATTGAATCGGCGAGTTCAAAACCGCGATGCGCTTAAAAATTTTTAATATCTCTGCTTCTAGAGGTCCGATTTTGATAATTTTTTTTAAATCGATGTCTCGCGATTTAAAAAAAACAATTAGCGTATTTTCAAATGCCTATCGTTAATAATTATTGGTCTTTCAACAGTCCGATAATTATTTATCTTTAAACTTCCTTTAATTATCAACTTTATTTTTTATTGTATCAAAGGTAAGTGCATAAACTTATATACTGTTTATCAAGGATCAAAAACAAATTTATTTAAATATTCTAAAATTGTTTAAACAACAATTATTTTCAACATATGTCGAAAATAATTAATTAATTAATTAATTAATTAATTATTTTCGACATATGTTGAAAATAATTGTTGTTTAAACAATTTTAGAATATTTAAATAAATTTGTTTTTGATCCTTGATAAACAGTATATAAGTTTATGCACTTACCTTTGATACAATAAAAAATAAAGTTGATAATTAAAGGAAGTTTAAAGATAAATAATTATCGAACTGTTGAAGGACCAATAATTATTAATGATAGGCATTTGAAAATACGCTAATTGTTTTTTTTAAATCGCAAGACATCGATTTAAAAAAAATTATCAAAATCGGACCTCTAGAAGCTGAGAAATTAAAAATTGTTTAAGCGCGTCGCGGTTTTGAACTCGCCGATTGAATTTCATGCAGACCGAAGCGGCCGCGCTCTCTGCTTCCCCCACCACCATCACCAGTACGATTTTCTTGAATTTCTCGCTTGCATAAATAACTTTAAACACGTTTTAAAGTAGGTTGCTAATGAAGAAAAGTATTGCAAACTTAGACATGGTAAGAACTCGGAATACCAAAGGTATTTTTCGAAAAATTAGTCCGGATCTCGCAATACATTTAATGTAAATGAGTGTTAACTTTGATCGGCTATGACTACGTAACTAATTGACCAACCGATCTGTTTTTTTTTAAGAAGCGTATTTCCAATAACTTTTAAAACCAGCTTTAAAAAATTTGATTTGATTGAATATTCACAAAGTTATTCTAATTGTTTATAAGTACAAAAATTCGACCAATGTTTAAACAAGCGCCAGAGCTCTCCTAATTGACGGATTCGAATTTTTCAAAAAGCGTTTGAAAGCTTGAGAGCCCTTCCATATGTGATTAAATTTTCAAGTAACTAAGGGCCTTGGTTTTTGCTGTGCAAAATTTTGAAAATTTGCTTTTTTTTTCAAAATCTGGATTGCAAAATTATTATGCAAAATCTATCGAACCGATTTTGATGAAATTTGGTGTGATGATTCTACATAACATGAAATTTTCTTTTGCCAAGTATGAAGGTCCTATACCCAACTTAAAGACCCCAAAAAAATTCCGTAAAAAATAATGTTTTTTAACCCCAATTTTGGCGATTTTTTCGATTTTTACAGTAATAGTCATGATTCATTCGATTTGTAACTAGTCATATTTTGTAAAATTTAATTACAAAAATTTTTTTCCTCTTCCATTTTCGCCTAAAATCAACTCTTGAAAACATACATAATTAAATAGGAAGAAAAATATGATATTTTCCAATTTTTTTTAACATATTGTGCCGCCAAAAGTTAAGCCCACGTTTTTTTATGCGCATAGAAAAATTTTCATTTCTAGTGATATTTAAAATCCAAAAAGCCAAAAATCTCCGTGGATATACGTTCCACCCAAACCAAAACAGATACCGCCTAGTCTAACTGCTTCTTTTTGTGTTATAAACAAATTTATCAGCTTGTTTTTTGCGATAAATATACAGGGCATTCTGAGCGCAATTGCTACTACATTGTTTCCTTCATATTTTTTTAAGGATCGATATTTTTGGAAAATTTTAAATTCTTTAAAGAAAATGTGAAAATAACGTTTAAAATAGGTACATAACAAGTTTTAAAATAATACCTACATAGATTACAATAAATTATACAGATCAACATTTAGTTTGAAAAAAAACACCGGACTCTACTCTAGGTACCCACGGATTTTTGGGCTCCCTAATTCCGATGCCGAGGTCGGTTAAGCTCTATCACGTCAGGTTCAAGGTCATTTGAAGATCAAACTAAGAAAAGGTGGTTGAAAAAATCAGAAAAAGTTCATACATAGGTTTTTTGGGTCGCTGAGTTTGAATCCTATGTCGATTGACCTCTATAACCTCTATAAAGCCGTTTAAAGGTTAAAGTAAGAACAGAAGGTGAAAAAAATAGGAAAAAATTTTACGAATGCTCACCTGCCTACTTTTGTCTGTCTGTCTGCCTTTTTACACTATAGAAAAATTTCACTGGAATTTCACTCAATTTTACTCAATAATCAATTTCTCTCCACACCCGATTGAGTGAAATTTTCACTCTATTAGTATGAGTACAACTGAGTGAAACTATTGCATCAGAAATGAGTGAGTTTTACTCAGATCTGAGTTACTGCAAACTATCAATTGAGCGCCTTTTGACTATTCTGAGTATACAAAACCAATTATTTATAATACAAAAAACCTACTTATCCAAAATTTGAGTAAAATTATTCAAATAATAAATAAATTATCGTAAAAAAGGGATAGTGGAGTCAAGATAGTTTAAAATTACGTATTATTTCGAAATAATTATGGGAAGCATGGATTTTCCTAAAACCTTTTGAAATTACTTGGAGATAAGTAATAGAAAAAAGTTATAAACTTATTGTTGTACGCTAATTGTTTTTTAATTGTTTAAATAATAATAAATAGTTTTTTTAAGAATATTTAAAATAATTCAATGAATTTTAAATCGAATTCTTTCAAATTGACAATATAGGGGTTTTCGATGTCGCTGAACAAGAATATGAAGTCGTAAAATGAAAATTCAAAATGGCTGATCCAATATGGCCGACTATTTTAAACAATTTATTTAATAATTATTAATTATAAATCAAACTCGCTTATATTTATAATATATGGGTTTTTGACGTCGCTAAACAAGAATATGATGTCAACAAATGAAAATTCAAAATAGGTGATCCAATATGGCCAAATAGATATACAATTTATTTAACAATTATCGATTTTAAATCAAACTCGCTCATATTTGTAAGAAAGAGGTTCGAAAAATGAAAATTATAAATGGCTAAAGAGGTTTTATTGAAAATATGTTTTATTTTTTAAAAAACAAATTTATTACAAAATAATTAATGTTTAAATCGAGTTCTTGCTCTTCTTCAAAAATAACTGGGCTATTAAGGTTTTAAGCCAATAAAATTGAAAAAAAAACACTGATTTTAAATTCAAAATTACAAAATCAAAATCAACGTCCCCTATTATTTATTTATTCATTAATTATTTTAAAAATGGATCACTATTCATATATAAATATTACACTCATACATTTACAGGTTTATATAAAGGAAAACGAATATAAATACCTTAAATTCAAACTGAAGATTATTTGTAATATTAAGTAATAATAT